AGAATGCTTGCTACCCAAAACCTAGCACTGCGTGGCACTTCAGATCAGTTGTATGTGCCAAACAATAGAAACTTCCTTAAAATTGTGGAGCTGATGGCTGAGTTTGATGCTGTACTCCAGAAGCATCTAAGAAGAGTCACTACCCAAGAAATGTACACACACCACTACTTTGGAAAAACAATTAAAAATGAGATCAGACAGTTACTGGCAACAAAAGTCAAACAGAAGATTGTGGCAGATCTGAAGTCAGCAAGATATTACTCTGTTATTCTGGACTGCAAACCTGACATCAGCCATACGGAACAAATGACTTTAATGGTGCGTTTTGTAACAACAACAGAACCTAGTGAAAATGCCCCTGCAATGGTGACTGTCGGAGAGCATTTTTGAGAATTTATTGATATTGATGATACTACCGGAGCTGGTATGACAATTGTGCTTCTTAAAAAGCTGGAAGATACGGGAATTGCAATAGCTGACATGAGAGGGCAGGGCTACGATAATGGTGCCAACATTAGAGGAAAGAACAGAGAAGTGCGGACACAGATCCGAGAGTTAGACCCTCACGCTTTTTTTGTCCCATGCAGTTCTCATTCATTGAACTTGGTGGTCAGTGATGCAGCATCATCTTCTAGTGAGGCTGCTGAATTTTTTAACGTAATTGAAAGAATCTCTGTATTTTTCTCTGCATCAACTCACCGATGGCAAATTTTGAAGCAACAACTGGGAACATCCTCTCTGACACTGAAACCACTGAGTGCCACATGATGGGAAAGTTGAGTGGAGGCGATAAAGCCTATCAAGCACCAAATTGGGAAGATAGATGATACCATAGTTGCCATTTTGGAGGATAATGCTATGACAGGAACTCTTCGTGGGTGTACAGTGGCGGAGGGAAATGGAATCACCAGAAACATACATTGCTTCAAATATCTGTGTGGCTTAGTGTTGTGGCATGACATGCTGTTTGAAATAAATGTTGTAAGCAAGAGACTCCAAGGTGTTGACCTTGATATATCTGGAGCAATGGAACAACTGGACAAAGCGAAGTCATACCTAGTCTTACCAGTCAGATGAGGGATTTCAAAATGTTCTGAAGAGTGCACAGAAGTTGGCAGAGGAACTTCACACTGAAGCTATTTTCCCACCCATTCAAGAATAGAAGAATCACTGAAGAAGACATTTTGATTACAAGACACGGGATAATCCCATAAGAGACTCCGAACAACAATTCAAAGTTGAATTCTTTAACCAGGTGCTAGATTGTGCAATACAGTCAGTTGAAGAACATTTCAGGCAGCTCAGGGAACACAGCAGTATATTTGGGATGTTGTATGATATTCCAAAACTCCTCACTATACCTGTAGAAAACCTACACCAGCAATGCAGGGCACTAGAGACAGTGTTGCCACATGATGACATGAGCGATATTGATGCGAGTGATTTAGGTGATGAACTGAAAACCCTTTCAAGATACATTTCAGCAGGATCAATTCCAAAGGCTGTTTTGGAATAATTTTGCACAAATAAGATGACTACCCTCTTTCCAAATGCTTTTGTTGTTCTGCGCATACTTCTAACCCTTCCTGTAACAGTTACCAGTGGAGAACGCAGCTTCTCCAAGCTGAAGTTAATAAAAACACATCTATGCTCCACAATGACACAGAAGAGGCTGGTTGGCTTCCATCTCAATAGAGCATGAGCTGGCCCAGACTGTGGACCGTCAGGAAGCCGTTCAAATCTTTGCAACCAAGAAGGCCCAGAAAGCACCACTTTGATTATTCAAACAGATAAAAATGCCAGTGTTTACTATGCAGACAAGAAAAGTTACATTTGCTGTTCAGGCGTTTGAAAGTTAAGTATTACTTAAAATTTTTGAACAAGGCATTTTAAGTTAGTTCTCCTTTATTGGGGTAGGTAGCAGAGCAGTACCATGAGAGGAGTAGAACAGGAAGAAGGCACAATTGAGACCTTTCAAAGTTTTGGCCCAAGCAAGGGAGCATGGGGGCATCATTTGAGCTCCCCGCACAGAGTGGCTACATGAGCGATCTTACAGCAGCGCAACTGTATTGGTACAGCTGTTCCGCTGTAAACTTGCTAGTGTAGACATGGCCCGAAGTAGCAGATTTTCTTAGTCACAATATGATACTATTCTCTAAAACCAGTGTCTGACAATAAGATGAATGAGCAGAGATATGTGAGTTGAGGCTGCTGGGGAGAGATCTGAAATGGGATGACTAACAACCATTTAGAAGTCTGCACTCCTGAGGGTGAGGCATTTCTGTTGAGGTTATTCAGGTAAATACATCTCATTCTGTGATGCATTGGTCATTTGTAAAGAGCATGAACCCATCTTTCTTTACACGCAATTGCCAGCCAAAAACTGTCCACAGCTGGCAAACAGCTAGAACTAGGCTTCAACTCTAGCTTTAGAAGAAACACAACTCTAAGAAAAGCCTAATTGAAACTTTTTAAACAAATGAGGAGCAGTTTTTGAGAGGCTACAGCTTGATGCTGATGGCACTCAATCAAGGACAAACACATTATTACTGGAGGTGGAAGGGAAATAATTCTTCCTTAAAAGAAAAAATCTGTCTCCAGATTACTCACTCTAATCAGAAGCACAAGTATTATTCTCCCCTTAAATTAAAAGCAGCTGAACAACAGAGTATAATATCCCCAGTCTTGCAATCAGATATAGACAGATAACACTGGTCCCTGTCTGAAACCTGTGAATCTGCTCACATGGCTCTGGTTGCAGGATTGGGGCCTAAATTCAGAACAACATTAGAAAGTGCAAATAAAATAGCAGATGACCAAAAGCAGCAGCCATCAACCTGGGAAACAGTTTGGTTCCATGAGAGTTCTGTTTAATTAAGAATAGGGAATACCTGGTATATTTGCAGGAAGCAAAGTAACGCACATTAGTTTTTATTAGGAAATGTTCTATGGGAAGATTTTGATAATACAGTACAGTATTGCATGTTACATGAGCAATGATATTCAGGACATTCCATACCCCTTAGGCAGTGCATCTCAGCAAGATATTCTGTAAACATGTACCAAACAATGCACGCTTGATTTAGTTAGCACCTTAACATCATTGCTGGATTACAGACGGCTTTTATAAATTTGACTGATAAGACAAATTGTGATCATCTTCACTTTCCATGAGTAAGGGCTGTGTTTCTGCCGTGCTTCCCCTTCTCTTCTTCCTACACCCCAGAACAATGAGTCCGGTGATCAGAGCAGTAATTATACCACCAACCACAGCTGCTCCGACCAACCACTGCCAGATCTGACGGGCTTGCTCCAGGTAGGGCATCAAAAAGTCCTGGAATGAGTCAACTGCAAAAAAATGACAAAACTCATTTTATGTTATGTAATGCACTGTCAATTTGTGGAAGCTAGCAGTTATATGATAGCTCATGCTGGAAGACTGAATAATAATAATAATGCTTTGTATTGCTGTAGTGCCTTTTATCTCAGAGTCACACAGTATTTTAAAATCTTTAATAAATTAAGTCTCTCCTCATTCAATGAGGGAGAGAAGTATTATCTATAACTTACAAATGGGAAAACTGAGGCACAAAACCTAGCAGCCCCTAAATGACTTCACCCAATGTCACATAGGAAATGGATGAAATTAAGAATAAAAGTAGTGCCAAAAATTTCAAATGTAGGTGCCTAAAGTTGTGGACATAGCTAACTCCATTAGTGAATCACTAGATAAGTGGCCTAACTTTCAGAGGTGATAAGGAGCCACAGATCCTAATAGCACTAATGTGAACTGCAGGTGTTAAATGTATCTGAAAACAAGGCCATTTACTTAGATGCCTAAATATGGATTTAGGTACCTCATTTTTGGCACCAGTTTTTTAAAACATTGATCTGGATCTCCCTTCCCTCCCCGCCCCCCTTCCCTGGCCATGTCTTAACCACTGGATAATTCTTCATCCTGAATCTGACCCTGCTTCTATAAGCTGTGCGGTACTTCTCAGTCTTTGCAGTAAAGCTGTGATTCTCAAATGCAAACAGGCTTATTCTGTCCTAGTTAGGAATCAACTCAGTCTGATTTCTCTTCAGTGATTATTTCAGTCCATTATCCCAAGGGCACCATGAGAGTCAAAGTTCTCAGTTTAGCTCTTCATTATGTAGCACTACAAATGTACACAAGACTCTGGAGTAGGAGACCAAACATGATACTGCTCACCCAATGGGGTTTATATTCTATGGGGTTGATTTTCCATTATCCTGTCAGTTTTGCAGGCATTTACATCTGAGGAAAGTGAGTGCACAGGGCTACCATGCTGGTTTGGTAATGTTTTTCACCTATTTTATACTCCCTTTGCGCAGGTGTAAATGTCTACTCAAGGTGCCAGGTAGTGAAAAATGCATCCCTCAAGGTAAAGAATGGGGTGGAGTCCCTAAATCTGAGTTAGTTGCATTATCAGAGTGGACAAAGAGGCATTCTTTCTGAAACACCATGAGCCTGAGTCTGATCTTGGTTATACAGGTGAAAATCTAGAGTAACTCATTGACTTCACTGGTGTTGCACTCTGGATTTGCACTGGTTTAATTGATGTCAGAATCTGGTCACCCAACTCTAGTTATTTTCACTGGTGGGAACGAAGAGAATGAATCTGATGCGAAATTTATTCATCAGTTTTAATTACAGCTGAGAAAAATATTCAATGAAACCAGGCCAAACTTTGGATGAGCTCCTCATCCCCCTCCGGGCTCTTTATGCAGGATAAAAGGTCCAGAGTGGTATAAAGGGTTGTCAAAGCCATGTATCTGACTGGTTGAGGATTCTCCCAGGCTGGAATTGAAGACGACAACCATAAGTCTGTCCTCCAAAGACCTCCTCGCAAGCCCTGCCATAGGGGACTTGCCAGGGGCAAAGCTGGGGGCGGGAGAAGCATGTTGAAGGCAGAACTGCTGCAAACAGCACTTCAGAGATTCCTGGTGGAGCTGTGGTCTACAGGGGACCGCAACTTAGGCCCCCAGGCACTTCAGCCCCAAAAATGGGAGGTGGTTTGCCATCCACTGAAGACTCCGGGGATCCATTTAAAATAGACCCAAGATGGTCTGTGGTTTCCCTGGGAAAGTATGAACTTCTGCAATCTTGACTGACTTGTTTTGATGAAACCAAAATGTCAAAACCAAACTCTGTGAAAAAGGGCAGAAAAAGCCACATGAATCAATACTGGCATTAATGCTGGTGTGACTCCTTAGTGAAGCACAACTGGTGAATGACCAGTTATAACCACTTATAAGTTATGGGTGAGGAAAGCATAAACTGCTGGATGACTGTACACCTGTGCAGTAGGAAATTTGCTCAGATGTTTAGAAGTAAGGGTGTTGATAGTAAAAAGGCCGGGGAGTTAGTGCTGTTGGATATTAAATATGGAATACCCTCTCTATAGTTAAGGATTCCATTTTAAGTCTGAATTGGACCTCACCTAAGCCCTTAGCTATTTTCATTTTAAGCTTTGCATGTGTGGGATATGGCCAGCAGATTTTTAAAGATAATATCTGAGGTGACTTAGACAAGCTGTTCTGGAGAAATGAGGCTCAGAAAGCATAAATATTAATTATACTTTGAACATCCTCGTAGCATTCTTGCCGCTTTTGTCCCCAAATCCCTTGTCCTAGAAAATTCAACTGAGGTTCACTCAAAGCACCCTTTTAGAAGGGAAAAGCAGTGCTGGGAAGCTGTATGCAGGTGTATTCCAAATGGTCAATTGGTCTCTAGAGGAATTTCAAACAACACTCAATGACTAGTGGGGACCAACACATTCATCTGAGAAAAAATAACAAGTCTCTCTAGCCCTTTTCTTATGAAGAGAGCCTCCAAAATGAAAACCAAATCAATCTCTAACGTATCTATCCTCACAACACCCCTGTGATATAATCCCCATTTTACAGATGGGGAAACTCAAGCAGTGAAAGATTAAGTGACTTGCCCAAAGCCATGTAGGAAGTCAGTGGTAGAACAAGGAGTTAAACCCAGGTTTCTTGGATCCCTAGACAGCAACTTAATCACTAGACCATCTTCCATTGCTAGAGTTTTCCCTATGATGATCACATCAAAATGAACCCCCTCTACTGCTCTCTCTCTCTCTCTCTCTAGTGCAGGGTTGCCCTTTTGTAGGAACATTTTCTCCCAGCATGCCTTTATGGGACTAGCCCTTACACTCAGCAGAGCTAAGCAGCTACAACTCTAAAGGGGCCATTTTGGAGCTAGTTGTATTTTCCTCTCTTCTAGCTGGTAAGTACCTGTTTTATTTTCCCTTTCTTATTGTTGAGTAGATGGCACTTTCTCACAGTCACAGCTATTTTCCATAAAATACAGGGTTTGTTGCTGTTTTTTTTTTAAACTATCCTATCCATTTTATACCTGCCAATGTATGCGTTTCTTTTAGCTCCAACCTTAATTCTGAATTTCCTGGCTTCCAAATGGCTGGTTTTTGTTTGTTAATACTGTTACTCTAAAGTTTTCTTTTTACCCTTAAGTTTCTAACAATGGCTATTAGAGAGGCAAGGTGGGTGAGGTAATATATTTTATTCGGGCAGCTTCTGTTGGTGAGAGAGAGAAGCTTTTGAGCTACACAGAGAACATCAGGTCTGGGAAAGGTACTCAGAGTGCCACAGCTAAATACAAGGTGGAACAGATTGTTTAGCATAAATAGTGAATACATATTCTAAGAGACCGTTCAAGGTGAAGTAGCCAGTTAACACCTCGACAGTCATAGGACAAAAAAGGGAGGTTAGCGGGTTACAGATTGTTGTAATAAACCATAAATCCAGTACCTTTATTAAGTGAATGATTTTTAGTGTCTAGCAAAGTTATGAACTTAAGCTCCCAGGCAGTGGATGTGCTCTTTATCATTCCAATCACTTCCCTATGACCTTGTCTTGCTCATTTTTTTCCCCACCTGTTCGGCCACAGCATATCTGCACTGAAAATTTCTGGCCCATTGTGTCTCATATGTTTAGACAGTAAGCTATGTAGGGCAGGGCTGACTTGTTGTCATTCCACAATGGGGCCCTTATCCCAGTTTGGTGCATCTAAGAGTTACGGCAGTGCAAACAATAACTGGTATCAATACACACTCTGGTACTTGACTCTAGTTCAATGATTTTTGTTTGAGAATAGGGAGAAAAGAAAAACCTAAAAGGGGTGATAAAATAGATGCTTTGTGGAAGGGTAACAGGAGGGAGCATAGTTCTTGAGCATTTTAACATACCTAAGGACTTATTTAAGAAGTATTAGAAGGTACTTATGCAGTCGTCCTTATCAGTCTGGCTAATATGTAGAAAGAGTATGAGTGGCTTGCTAGGAAGTATAAAAATATGAACCCAATTTTTGAGAAAAATGTGAGATATTGAGGTCTTAGTCACAACTTATTCTAGATGAAGCCCTGCTTCTCTTATTTTTTTATTGGGCTCTTTCAATCCCTTCCCCATTTGTGTTATGCCTTTTGCTATAAGATTGTGAGTATAATGAGAACGGTGTTGTTTACATATATTGTCTTGGGGTTTTAGGTCTGTGTGTACTTGTGTGTGTTTACAAACACATCACAGAATCAGGAAATATTTCAGCTCCTTAAGTAAATTGGAGCAGGAAACTTACCAGGGAAATCTTGATACTGCCAAAATGGCACTGAAAATGAGCCTTGTTGCGCAGTCCTCCTTCCTGCAGAGTTTGACTGAAACAAAATATGTTCCTCTGTGGCTTCTTAAAACCTTACATTATGCTGCAACCATCTTTTGACTCCATCATTATCAATCTGGAGGACAAGGGCTCCTCATTTGTCAGCCTTAGCCTTGGGAAAATGTAATGTGGCACGGGAACAGATGGGGCTGCCGCATGATCTAACAGAGGGGAACTACTACTGTCTTCCATTTTACCACTGACTTAAACGTAGTTAAGCATGTCTCTGCCCTGTTTTAACCTCAACCTGCACAGGATTTCTCTAACAAGCTAGAAGCCAGCAGCCACCTCCAGGCATCTACTGCCTGTTTTCAGTTTCCTTTGCCACAGAAAAGATCCACGCAATCGCTACCTTGAAGTTACCATGGCAACTCGGATACCAGAGCACGGAGTGTCCCCAGAGGCAGTGCTAGCCAACTGGGAGCCCTAAACAGGAATATTTTGCCCCCCTACACACAACACATACTACTAATAAATAGGGGGTCCCTTTGAGCTGCTCAAGCACCTAAGCAATTGCTTAGTCTGCTTATGCCTACTGGTGGCTCTGGCCCAGTGATCTGTAATGCACACCAGTAAAAATATGTTTGTTCCTGTACATGTATGTCTGCCAGTTAGAACCCCCCAGAAT